GATCGCTCTTATTTTGGGAACTACTATGGACCGCATGATCAGATTAAATTTGATTGTTCGATCTCGCCTGAAGAGAAAACGGATCTGGATCGTTCGTGCGTGCAGGAAAAAATCTTAGTCGTTGTATCCGTTGGCACGCAGATCATCCGTGTGGCTCCCTGTGTGGACGTGTGTCTGCATGTCTGCCACGCGGCACACAACGACCGGCCGTGCTGCTTGCATGGCGGTCCACGTGGCCAAATTTATGTTATTTTTATTTTTATCCCAGTTTTTCAGATTTTTTTCAAATATGTTCTTCTTTATTTCTACTTTTAATTTTTGAAAAAGTTTTCAAATACATCGAAAATATAATTTTCTTCAAAATTTCAATTAAAAATTAAAAATAAATTTTTTTCTAACAAAAAATGACGATAGCACTGCCGTAAAAAATAAATTGGAGAATATATCGATACCATCAATAAGAAAAAACTATGTTTTTTGGAATCGAGTCGTGACGATAGCGTTGCCATAAAAAACAAATTGGAGTTTATCAACGACTCTATCGATGAAGTAAATTATTGAGACTTAAATTTCTTTAATTTTGGATTTATAATAATAATATGTTAATTTCTTAAATTTTAATCTCCATTTCAAAAGAACTTTCAGTAAGTATTATTTTCTCTAAATCAACTCGCAAAATATGGATTGACCTGCGAAACTGTTTTCAATAAAGCAAAAGTCCTTAGATTTTCCAGTTGAAATGAGATTTGATCAGTGATGTTCAAAATCAAGATTAAATTACCCTCTATTTCATGAATTAAAAATTTTGTGGGAAGAACATAATAAATCTAGGTTGATGTTCATGTGGGAAGTTCCCATGTCGTAGAGTTAATGAGTTGAAAAATTACTTTCAGATGGAGAACGTTATATCCTTACTCACAGGATTTAATGATTTGAAGACAATTACTTTGTCGGACTCAATTCCACCAATAAATAAAACACTTTCCCTTGTGGTTCAAGAAGAGTATCAGTCAGTCAGTAATAAACTTGAAGTTAATAGAGACGAATCAAGTGGCTTAAATGACATTCATGACAAAAGCTGATGACTTTAAAAGGCAAGGTTAAGATGTTGTCTTTTTGCACTCCCTATAAAATCTATGAACACATAGTTGAGAGAGAGATGTTATAAAATATATAAACGTCCACCTGGTTATAAGTACAAAAACAAAAGCTTCGCAAATGCATATGCTAACCAAAAAATGGTTCAACAGGATTAATTTCAGCATGACGTTGGTGATTTTTTTCAGAATCTTTGTTCTTTTGAATATCAAAAGCTAATGGTGTACACTGTTGTCTAAGGAATTTGGCTACTGTAGTTAAGGATTTTAAGTAACCGAACAACATATTTGTCTCACTTAGAGCTATCTTTCTCTTTGTTTCTTTAAGCTTCAAGAATTTATCTTTGAAAAATTAGATAATTAATTCCGGTGTTTCAAGACATATTAGTTTAGTAGGTGCTGGTAAGTTTCTGTTCTCGAGATATATATATAGAATTTTGTTGTTACACTACCAAACAGTGTATTCCTATCAATTAATTTAGGAGGAGATGTTCAGATTTCACCAAACTTGTTACTAAAAAGAGTCTTGTTTGTGCCTCAATTCTAAGTTAATGTACTATTTGTTAGTGCTGTCGTTTGGAGTCAACTTTTATCCTGATCATTGGTGTTTCAGGACATGTATATAGCAAGATATACAGTGGTTTAAGCAATATACATATACGTATATATCACCACTATAACAAAACTGTTATTTATCTAAATTTATCTAACTATGTTCAAAATTAGTTTAAAGGTTTTAATATAACTACATTACGTTTGTAAACATAGTAAAAACTATTTTTGGCCCTATAATTTAACTACTCTCAAAAATATAGAAATTTTTGTTAAAAATATGTTTTGTTTTTCTTAAATTATTATTTATTCTACGTAAACAATATTAAGAACTACTTAAATTATTTAAATATTAATATTAAAAAAATAAATTTAACACTCATTGAAAAATACAAAGCATTCATAATATCTCCAATCTCTTTTCTGTGTCTCCCACTGATTTATACCATTTTGAATTTACCTTTGTTCTCGGCGGCCTGACATCATGATTTATGGGTTGGGACATGTGATATACATGAGAATATATTATAAAGTTAAAAAGGGTCGCTTGAGAAATGAGTTTAACAAATAGAAATATGGGTTCAAATGAGTACTAAATCTATCGCTTGATATATCTTTTATTATTTATTTAAAGAAATAAATTGAAATTTAATTTTAATAAGATTTAAATATGATAAATTGTATTTTTGTTTTAAGTTGAGACGTTCTAATATAATTTTGGCTAATCTCAGTTTTTCCCTTCACTTAGACCATTATTGATTTTTTTTTTTGTAGTCTTAGTCTTAATCTTTACTGATTTTTACAAAGGGAGAACAAAATTTCTCTTACTTAATTTTCAATGATATAATTAATATTGGTCTTTCTTCCAACTTGATAGAGGATTGAGTTGGACTAGATTATTATGATTTGTCCTAAATTGAACTTTACTATAGATTATGTATCCCATTATTTTAACATACTTTCTACGTGCACTATATTTTAGAAATGAGCTAGATGTGACATTTGGGCACGAATCACTAGGGTATCAAATGGATGAAGTTAAATTCATGTCTTTTGAATGTACATTTTAGAGTCATTATGCTTTATACTCTAAATTTTATTTGTCAATTCAAATATATATGGATACACAAAATAAAAAGACAAATTAATAATTAAGTTAAAGCAAAAAATAGTAATACTCAGAAAGAAGTTAATTAGACAAGATATATTGATTCAAAACATGTAATTAAATTAAAATGTATAAAATAATTAGTGTGAAATGTAACCAAGACGTATAAATGTTGGGCTAGCAATTTTCATAACTTTGTCCTCTTCCTCAAGCAACTCATTTAAGATTTTCGCTATCATATTCAATATTTCTTACGGATATTAGTTAATAGTGTATCTACCTAATCATATAATTTGTGTTTTTTTTTTTTTTTTTTTTCACTCAAAGATACTTACAAGATATTTACCTCACATCTCTTAGAAAGCATAAAGGATTTTAAGAAAATAATATCAAGAAATTCTCTTTAAGAGTGTATATATATTAAACTCTTTAGAAATTTTAAATTTAACTTAAGAAAAAAAAAAGATGATTAATATTCTTGACTTCTCAATTATTTTTTGTTTTAAGAAATAATATTTAAAAATTTAATAATTATTTAGTTATTAAGTTACAAGACTTTAATGATGTAATGAATCGAATATATTCGAAATTCAAAAGATAAAATATAAGTTAGATCATGTATAATATACTGTAACACAATATTTAATACTGATGCATCTTTAAAAACAAAAAAATAAATAATTATTTTACATTCTAAATATGCGCAATACGTTTTTAAAATACATCTTTAAAAATAGCTTATCTAAATGGTAGAAGTAAGTTGTTGTGCAACATATTCACCCTGATATTTTAGTAATTTTTTTTTCCACAAATTTTCCATTTGTAAAGTACTTTAAAAATTATAAATAATTTCCACATATAAATACTTAAATACTTTTTTACGCAAAATCAGAAAAGAACAACACTTTTTTTCAATGTGATTTGTAACACTACACCACATCCTTGTGACACAATTCTTTTTATAACAATAATGAGAAAAAATATATATATATATATATATTCTTATATGTATATTATTTTTTTTATTTTTTAAATATTTATATATGAATAAAAAGTAAATTTTTTTTTATATTTTAATTAAAAATATAATTATAAAAATTGTATATATGCATGAATCTAATTTTATCTATAAAAAAATAAAAATCTTTAACTAGAAAAGAAAAGTAGCCGAGTGGCCTGCAGCCTTTTTCCTCTTAGTTCTGATTCTACTTGGCAGCATATAAAAAGTATATCTCGTTTTTCATATGAAAACAATATATATTAATTTATGTACCATATATAATTTTTTAACAACATATAAAAATTAATACTATAGAAAAATAAATTTTACTTATATACAATTAGTATATTAATAAATTTTTACCAAAAATTCATATATACTTGTACATTATCAAAATAGAATCTCATATTTGAAGCATAACTCAATTCAAATACACATTTATATATATATAGAGAGAGAGAAGAATATATTAATTATCAAACTGAAAAATAATTGGTATAAGTAATATATTTTCAAATATAGTCTGTGCGTAAAAATATATTTTGTTTATAAATGAAATAAAAAATATATTTACTTATCACTTATCTTATGACTCAAACCTCATATTAATTATGAAATTCAAACAATGGAGAAAAAAGAAAATGGTTGTCGTTTCAACGTCTTCTTTTCTACTCAATGTATCATGCGTTTATTTTCCCTCTTCTTCATGTCAACATTCCTCTCTCCATCTATAACACAAACAACCATTTTAAGCATGGAATGTTCCTTTATGCTTCTTCTTCTTCTTCTTTGCTTTTCCTCTTTGTTTTCTGCCTTTGCTTAAGCTGAACATCATTCTTATTCTTTCTTAAATAAACATCCGCAACGTGCATTAATCAGAGGAAAAATCCTGCTCAAGCAGCGGGGCCAAGAAAATAATAGAGGCATAGCCATGGACCCTGAAATTCTTGATGATGTCATCCGTCAATTACTTGGATGTAGAAGAAAACCTGGCAAGCTGGTGAATCTGTATGAATCTGACATCAGGAAACTTTGTGTGGTGTCCCGGAAAATCTTCTTAAGCCAGCCAAACCTATTGGAGCTTGACGCACCCATCAACGTATGTGGTATGTCCTTCCCCAATCCTCCAATGTGTTCATTCCCTCCGAAATACGATCGTTTTCAAGTGGGTTTTGAGACTTCCAAGCTTATATCTGGTGTGGGAGTGTTGTATAATTTGCAGAAATTTTGAATTTGACATTGATGTTGTGGAGGTTCTGGTTGAGATTGATGTTTGTTTCTACTGCTTCATTTTCTTTTCTTTTTTTTTTCCGCACGAATAAGTTCGTGTCTTATGAGCGAAATACATTTTTCTGATGATAAAAGCATAAAATACCTCTCACCGACAAACATAAGATAAAGTATGTTCCTTTCAAGTGGGACACAGGTCCTTTCTATTAAATCTAAGTCTCTGCAACTTTTTTGTGGTCACATATTCTCTTACCCAGCTTAGCAGAGTTGAAATTATGAATTCCTGCTGTGGAAACAGCCTTCCAAGTTCACATATTCTCAATTTCATAACTCTGCTTTTCATTATCCCTAGTTGATACCACTTCTTTGGATGTTCAAACCTTTTTTGTTACCTGGATACGCAAAAGCTTTTGCTGGAGATCATGCATTTACACGGTTCTAGACCCTCCATTTTGTAATATAATACGTACATTGAGTGGTGTAGGACAATAGTACATTGAATATGAAATTGTATTTGAGGAATTTTGTTGGACATATTGTTTCAATAGCTACGTTGTCTGAGTACATGGAAGAAGAATAACTTGGGATGTGTGTCTTATTTTCTGTTTCTTATGTCATGCAGGAGATATTCATGGTCAGTATTCTGATCTTCTGAGGATTTTTGAATACGGTGGTTTTCCTCCTCGTTCCAATTACTTGTTTCTGGGGGATTATGTTGATCGTGGAGAACGAAGTCTTGAAACAATATGTCTTCTCTTGGCATTTAAAATAAAATATCCTGAAAACTTTTTTCTGTTGAGGGGCAATCATGAATGTGCCCGATTAAACCGTATTTATGGATTTTATGACGAGTGTAAACGAAGATACAGTCTTAGACTGTGGAAGATATTCACAAATTGCTTTGATTGCCTTCCAATGGCAGCTCTAATCGATAACAGGATATTATGCGTGCATGGTGGGCTTTCTCCCGAGTTACGAAATTTGGGTCAGATCAGGAATTTAGGCAGGCCTACTGATGTTCCAGAATCTGGTTTGCTATGTGATCTCTTGTGGTCTGATCCTTGTAGGTCCGAGGGCTGGGTTGAAAGTAAAAGGGGGGTCTCCTATGCTTTTGGTCCTGACATTGTAGAGGAGTTTCTTGAGAAGCATGATCTTGATCTAATCTGCCGAGCCCACCAGGTTTGATTCACCTTGTTCTTCGCTTAAGGTGGTTGAGTGTGCCTTCCACTCACGACCTTTTCGTCGATATTGCAGGTTGTGGAAGATGGATACGAATTCTTTGCTGATAGAGGTCTTGTGACCATATTTTCAGCACCTAATTACTGTGAAAAGTTTGAGAATGCTGGTGCCATGATGAGCGTAGATGAGAATTTAGTGTGTTCTTTTCATGTATTAAAGCCTGTTTACACTCCTAGAATCAAGGTATATTCAATCTTTGTCTTTTGTCTTTTGTCTTTCTCATTCCCAGCTACATGGATTTTAACTCTGGACTAAATAACCACATCAATAATGTTCCAGAGGTTTTTCTGAGTCCTTGCCAACCTGCACAATCAAGATATCTCATGTTATTGAAATGGCAGACAGATGAAATGCAGAGTGAGGTCAATGTCAGCAACTAAAATCAAATCTATTGTATATATGCTTCTTTGAAGAAATAATCTATCAATTATTTTATGTTCTGATAACAATTCACCTACTTTCAAATTACTGTAAAGTGTATAATAATAATATAATGTTTTTTATTATTTTTTAAACAATCATGTCAATTGCTTACCATCATTGTGCAAGCCAGAAACGACAAAAACGGTGTCGTTCGGAACAGATAACGTGTGGGCTGGGCTCTGAATTGGGCTAAAGCTTTCATTGTCCATAACAAAAATAATTTTATTTAACTTTTTTTTACATAAATATTTTATTCCATTAAAATCATTCCTTACAATAAGTTAGGTTTCAGTTCAAAGCAGACCTACTAAGAATTTATTTTGAGGTTTGAATTTATTTAATTCCAAGGTATAATTGTGTATTTTAACTTTCAATAACTAAAGTTGGAAGTTGGACCACTTTGATTTATATTATTTTGTCAATAATAAAAAATAGTATTTGTTATTAATTATCACAAGATGCCCCTTGACTCTTCTTTCTTATATTTTCATATTATTAAAACAAGAATAAATAAATCAAGATTAACCTTAATCCTGTTGTTTACCCTAAGATTTATTCTAAATTTCCAAGCATATTATCAAAACAAGAATAAATAAATCAAGATTAACCTTAATCCTGTTGTTTACCCTAAGATTTATTCTAAATTTCCAAGCATAAACTTGTTGCTCAATCCATCACATCACCATAACATAGAAATTACTTCAACCATCAACTAAAACTAACTGTATGAATGTGTAATACTTGTGATTATCATTGGGGAAATCGAAAACGCGTAATGCCATGTCATTGTCGTCTGTATCACACTCTTTCTACTAATAAATATATATATATATATATATATGGAAGACTGACCGCTGAATATCAATACCTATTGAAGACCCATGCAATGCCGGTTCCTTACTGATACTGTTGTCTTGTCTTTTTTTCATTATTTTTCCTTAAAAGCCAACATCTGATCGTCTTTCTCGATACTCAAGCAAGATACATATATATATATATATATACATATATATTGCTTTTAATGATATTTTTTTGTTAATTTGAAGTTGATGGGATTTCCTCATCAATAGTTATTAAATATTAGTCATGTTTTCAACTGTATATTTAAGTATTAGCTGTTACCATTTTAATTAAACATTTAACAAGATGTATCATAACTACAGTCTCCAAAAATTATTGATATAACGAAGCATGTGGTTGCTAGTAGAAATGGGATTGAATGAACGCAGGACCTCCATCTTATTACTCCACTTAAATATGAACTGATGTTGTTCTCTTGGTTTCTTCTTCTTTTTTTTTTTTTTTTTTTTAATTTGTGAATAAAATAAACAGTATAAATTAAATTTTTCGTTATATTTCGTAATTACTTTTTAATCTTTATTTATTTTTGTATTTGATTTTTCATTTGCTTATTATATATTTATAAAGTTCCTAAAATTTGACGTTAGAAAATCTATATGTATCTAAGAAAATAAAACACGTGGCATTTCTCATTTAAATTAAAAGTAATAATATACTTCAATTTTTAAATAAAAATATACTTAAAAGTGATAATATTTATAGCAGGTATCTATTTAATTTCTTGAAAGCATAAATCTAATTTTTAATTTTTAATTAACTCCAAATATATATATATATATATAGTTATCTATTTAAAATTTTAATTGATTATAAATTCTATAATTATGTATTATTTAAACTTTTGATTCTCTATTTCACAATCCACACTCCATTTATCTTTTAAATCTTTTATAAGAAAGTAAAATGAGTATCGAGATAATTTATTATAGTTCAATATAATTTTTTTATATTTTATTAAAAATATTTGTGATTCTGTAGTGGTTATATATATAATAAATAATATTTTATATAAATAATTTTTATAATTTTTTAAACTCATGTTCTGCGAGTAGCAAAGAGAAAAAATTCAATTTATTTAAAACAATTAACCTTTGACAAATGCCTCTATTTTCAGCTGATATTAAATAATTTAATTATGTCATCATTTAATTGTAAAATAATAAACAAGAGGTAATATTGTAATATAATTTACTTACAAGTTACAAAAAAACTGCTAACGTACTTTCATAATAAGTAAAGAAACATATTTTAATTTGTAAAATAATCATGTTATTATTTTAGAAATAAATTTAATTTTAATTATATTCGAATAAGACGCCTGTATAATTTGTTCTAAAAAACAAATTATTAACCAGCAGGTATGACTCTGGGAAAGCTTTCGTGTTTCATTTTTCCTTTTCTGTAAGTGGGACAGAAGCATATCTTCAACGGGTGATGATTATATATGTATATATATTTATATAATAGATCTATATGAAGTTTATGATCGAACTATATATATCTGTATCCAAATAAAGGAAGCTTAATAAGATATAATAATTAATTTATAATGAACGATGCTTATTAAAGCCTCTTCCTCTCTCTTTACTTTGTATTATATAAATATATATATATATATATATATTCATATATAAAGTCAAAAGTATTTTATAATGAACGATGTGAAAGCATTGGGCCAACCACAAATTAACCTACGCTCACACGTAATCTCATTCGCTCCTGAAAATTGGCTGTAACAAAATCCATATCAATGCTACAAAAAAAATTCTCTGTAATATATATTAATATCACTATAATCCATATTTGATTGAATAAAATAGTTTAGTTTTTAGATATTAACAAAATCTTTTAGACTTTAGGGTACATTTCATACCTCCTAGTATAATAAGAATAATGGAAGGTAGTTGAGTATGGCTGAGTTCTATGTTCATCTTTCTATATCTTTGAGATACTTGGATAAAAAAGAAATAAAATAGCATAAAATCCATGTAATTTTTTTTCTTTGTTAATAATGACATCATTGATGACGATGATAAAAATAATAACGTCGATGATGATAATGGCAAAAGAAAAGGTTTGAATTAGACAATTGTGGCAATGAAGATGATGATGGTAAGGTAATAACAATAACAAAAGAGGTGATACAGGTAGCAATGTGAGATGGTGTAAGGGTTGATACGGGTAGCAATGACGAGATGGTGTTGCTGGTAGGATTTGAAACAAGATGGACTCTACAATTGCTTGTGACGACAATAGTGATAATGATTACAGTGAAAATAAAAATAATAATGGGAACAATGATGTAAATAATGATGATGACATAAAAAATAATGGTATAAAAGAGGCAGGATTAATTGTTGCAGTAGCAACAATGATAGTGGCTATACTACTATGGTGTGTATGTTTAATATTTGATCACTGTATCACTGGTAATAACAATAGAGATAAAAGTAATAACAAAAGAGTTCTTGTTAAGAGATAGATATGGAAGATTGAAAAAAAAAGAGCATTTTAAATATTTTAGAGCGCTACACTATTGCATACTAGTAAGCGTATAAGATTAAAACTAAAAGTAGATACCGAAAGTTGTATTTTGTAATACCCAGTTGGAGCACCAACTGGGTACAAATATATATATATATATATATATATATATAATATTAATTAATTAAGAAAAAAGAGAAGAATGTAGAGAGAAGGAGAACAAACCAAGCGACAATATATATATATGTATATATATATATATATAATGAAATAGTAGAAAAAAAAAAGAGAAAAAAGAAAGAGAGGAAGAGAGCTAAGTTCGAGTGGGCGAAAGAGGAGGTCGAGTTGAGTGAAGATCGGGGCCGAAAGAGTGAAGTGAAAGGAGGAGCCTTGGCTGCGTGAGGAGGAGAAGTGAGCGGCAGTCGAGGAGGTGAGACGGGCAGAAAGGGGAGACGTCGTGGGAAGAAGAGGAAGAAGAAAAAGAAAAGAAAGATGAAGAAGATGAAGATGAAGAAAAGAAGAATAAAGGAAAAAAAAGGGGAAGAGAAGAAGAAAGAAAAAAATCATGGTCAGGTTAAGAGAGAAAAAGGAGAAAGAGAGAGAGAGAGAAGAAAAAGAAGAAGAAGAAGAATAAAGGAAAAAAGAAAGAAGAAGAAGAAGAAGAAGAAAGGAAAAAAAAAAAAGAAAAAAAGAAGAAGAAGAGTTATGGGAAAAGAGGAAGAAGAAAAAGAAATTAAATTAAATTAAATTAAGGAAGAAAAATGGAAGGGTGGCGACCAAATATGATGTTAGTGCGCTGCATGCAACAACGCGCGCTGATTCAATTATCAGTGTCTGACATTTTTGGTGACACGCATATGATGACGCATGGTAGCGTTAGCGACCGGGACCGTGTTTCCAAAGGTAAAATCTATTTCTAATTTCGCATAATATAGTTTCTAAAATTATTCATAATTTAATTTATGTATTTTCTATTATAAAATAGGAAAATTATCCAAATGGTATTTGAAGTTTTGAGAGGACCATAGAACGAGTTATAAAGGATTCCCAAAGCTTTCATGATCACATCGTATGTAAGAATTATGTATATTCTGTACGAATATATAAATTATATGTTTATATAAATGTGTATATGTATAGTGCATTATGTGTGAATGTTTAAATACTTGTGTAGTATAAAAAGAATATAATTATTATGTCTAATTTATATTTATTTGTGTTCATGTATGTGTATATATATATATATATGTTGTTACGCATGTATGTGTATATATATAAAAATATATGATGAATATGATATGAATTGATCAGAAAAGAATTTATTAGAACAAATACGTGAATAAATATATATATGATATGTTGTGTGTGATTGTGTGTACGTATTTAAGTATGAACATGTGCGTATG